TCAAGCAGAAGAGCTGGAGCTAGACCTAGGTTTGAAACCTGGTTCTGCGTCCATGGGCAAATTATTTAACCTCTCTGAACTTGTCCCTTAATCTTTAAAAAGAGAATGACCACCTACCTTACAGGATTACCAAGAAGATTAAGAGAAATAACTTAATGTATGTGAAAATACCTCCTGCAGTGCCTGGCACTCAGTTGGCAACTGAAAGCTTTTCTTTTTTCTTTCATGTATATCTAGAGGGTTGGCTAGGAAAAAGGTTGAGTTGAATTACACTAACCTCTAAAATCTGAAGGGAATGTCTTCAAAACAAATTCAGTGAATGTTTTCTATATGCCCATGTGCAAGACAAAGACTAGGTCATGAACTTCTGGGGCCCTTGGTGTGTAGTCATGGAGTGTAAGAGACAAAGATGTGTATAGAAATAACACATGTCAGAGAGGGACAAACCAGGTGCTGAGAGCAGGGCAAACTTGGTAGAGTAATAAGATACTTGGTAGAGAAACAAATGAGACAGATGGTTCCTGTGGCTTTTGAGCGCTCAGGTTCTCCCTTCCAACCATAAGTCTACTTAACTGTGAATGAATAGGCATTTTCTTATCTGGGGGAAGGCATTTTCTTATCGGAGAACTGGTTAACCAGTTAATATATTCCCAAACAGCAGTTCTCTACCCATTGTCAATGATATGGGAAAAAAACCCAACCACTTTGATCCTTATAATATGACTGTGGTGTCCTAAGCACCATGCGAGCATGAATTAATAGAATATAAAGATCCTATAAGACAAAGACAGACTATTACTATTCCCGTTTTATGAAGACGAAGCTGAAATGCTCAACTCACAAGTGTTAGAGCTGGGTTTAGACCACAGGTCTGCTAACTCCAAAGTTTATGTCTTTAACTATATTTTAGATTTTCTTTCCTAGAAAAAAGAAATTACAGGCAGAAAGACTTGACAATAAAATGCCAGGGTGGATGCTCAAGGTATACTCTAATAGAACTAGGCAATGGTTTCATGTTCTAGCTCCCGCTGGGTATAGATTAATAAGTAAAAGAGTCAAATTCTTGTTCCTATATAAACAAAGGTCAAGAGTGAGAAGGATGATTGGCTTGTAAAAGAATGCTAGAGCTCCAGGTCCTCTCACTGAAATGCCAAAGTGATGCTGCACCCCTTCTAACATGCCCCTGAACCCTAGCCCTTTCCAGATTTGCACTGATCAAAAGCCAGCCCTGCAAGGGGAATCAGCTCAGCCTCCAGAAGACACAGAAAACCCACCAGGAATGTGGAAAGCCTAATACAGCCCCTTGAACATGAGGGATTTCTTTTCAGCTTTAAAACTTTGTGGCCCTTAAAAACACACACACACACACACACACAAAAACTTTGTGGTCCTCTTGGACCCTATGTCGCTCCCTCCATCCCATATCCATGGCCATCCAAGTTACCCTGCCCTGCCCAACATGAGGTAACTCCTGTGGTCCGTGCCTTCTTCCCCATTCCTATCATTAACACTTCAGCTCAGGGGCGCCTGGGTGGCTCAGTTGGTTAAGCGACTGCCTTCGGCTCAGGTCATGATCCCGGAGTCCTGGGATCGAGTCCCGCATCGGGCTCCCTGCTCAGCGAGGAGCCTGCTTCTCCCTCTGACCCTCTCCCCTCTCATGTACTCTCTCTCTCTCATTCTCGCTCTCTCAAATAAATAAATCTTAAAAAAAAAAAAAAAACACTTCAGCTCAGGGCCCACTGTACCCACCCCCAAATTAGTGCCTTCCTCACCCTTGCCCAATCCATCATGCCCACAAAGTCCAGATTGTCTAAAAATAAAATACATCATGACTCTCCCTGCCTCTAAACCTATGGTCTCTACTGTAGAGACTGAAAAATTCCACAAGTCTAGCATTAAACCCTACACGGTCTGGCTTTACCTACCCTCTCAGCTTTATCTTTCACTTCCTGTAATTCCCCCATTTGTGCATTCTTGCCTCTACCACACATATCAATTCACTATCCTTTGTGAAAACCTTGAAACTTGCCCAGCTATGCATCCTACTTCCAGTTTCTTCCCTACCAGGATATCATACCCCACCCCACCTCCCACACCACTTTTAATCCACCTAAGACTTCTCAAATTTTACCTCAAATTTTGATCAGCATTTCCTGACCAAATCTGGTAGCCACCCTGGACAACTTGCTGTTCTTCAGAATGCCAAGCACATTCCTGGCTCAGGGTCTTTGCTCATTCCCTTTTATTCCCTCTGCCTAAAATGTTATTTCCCCAGATATCCAAATGGCTCACTCCCTTGCTTCATTTCTCTGTTTAGATGTCATTAATCAGGGAGGCTTCCTTGACCTCCCACTGTCCCTATGACTTTATCCTATTTTATTTCTCTTCAGGGCACTTATCCCTGATGTTTGATATTCATATATTTACATATTGTCTATCTCTCCTACCATACACTCCATTAGGGAAGGGATTTGGTCTGTTTTGTTTCCTGTTGTAACCACCAGGGCATAGAAGTGCTTGGCACATAGTATGAACTCAATATATATTTGTTGGAATGGATGTATGAAGAGAGCTCTCCTCTACCTTTGAAATTCTATAATGTTATCACATACAGGCCTTCTAATAGTCTGTTTTGATTTGCCCATTTTTTTTTCTTAATTCCTCTCAATAGACAGTGAATCTCTCAAAGGGACAAACCACGTATTATTCATTTCCACAAATATTTACTAAGGACTTTTTGTATGCCAGATTCTATATCTCAAGCAGCCTGGAATATCAGAAAGAGCACTGGAGGAGAAATCCTAGGTTAGTCCTGGCTCTACCATTAGGTGAATGACCCTTGACGAATCCATTTTTCTCCCTGGGTTTCTTCATATGTAAAATAAGGAGAGTTACATTATCTCAAAGTCTCTCCTGGCTCTAGCATCTGTTAAAATTTTTAAGAGGTGGAACTTGGCCCAGCCCAGTGCCTTAGACATCACAGGTACTCAGTAAATATTTGGTTTCTTTGTTGTTGATTCTCCTGTTACACAGGAATCTGAGGTGTCTTGGAACAGTTTGGACAGAACAAGTAAAAGTTTAAGCCCCACTTCCTTCTCTGACTCCAAGGGACAACTTCATTCTGGTGTTTTGTGATAATAAAGGATTCTAGTGTTTGTGAGAGGGTAAAGCACCGAATTTGAAGTTGGAAAATACAAACTCTGACCACTGCCATTTACTCGGCTACAGAACCTTGAACAAGTCATTTCTGAGTCCGAGTCTCCCCAGACATAAAAAAAGCCATATTGGCCTACTCTCAACTCTTCAAAGGCACCTTTTTATGCTGTTCCATCTACTTGGAATGTTCTTTGCCCTTTCTTTGCTGAATTAATTTCTACTTATCGTCAAGGACCTAAATACATTTGCTTTTTTAAGGAAAAGCATCCTCTATTCACTCTCCCCCCCACACTCTCACAGCACTTACCTCCATTGTTTATCTCAATTATTATAGCATTTATCTCCATTGTTACCTCAATTATTTACTCTCTGTCTCTAGAACTGTAACCACCACAAAGGCAAGGACTGTGTCCATTTTGTTCATCATTATACTACTCAGCGCTTGGTTAAGTTCGTGGCACAGAAGTATCCAACAAATATTTTTATGGACAAATGTGTAAACTAATGCACCTAGAGACTTTAATACCTCTAGGAAGCTTTTTGGTTCATTCAGAGAATCTAATAAACACTATTACACTCTAAGATCTTTTACAAGTTTCTGTGAATCAAGGTTCAAAACAGGGAATTTATGTACACAGAGGTTAGAAAAAGTCACTGGAAATCATTTGAGCTGAAGAACTCTGGAAACTAAAAAAAATCAGAGAAAGGGACAGGGAACATTTATACCCCTAGCCCTCTTTCTCCAGAAGCCTATTATCAAGAATGGGGAGAAAAATCCCATGCTTCCATGGTGAGGAAGTGACCCATTTGTGGCCTGGTCCTTGTATTCAGGATGGAGGAAGTGACTGTCCACAGGCTGAAATCCAGGAAGTGGGGGCAGATATCCAAGACAGCCTCCCTCCTCCACCAATCCCTCCTGCCACCTCTAGAAAGCTTCTGGACGCTGACCCTGGTCGACCTAGAGGCTGGGCCGCCCACACAGGTGGCTGGGAAATATAGTCAACAGATAGTCCTGGTGCAGGGAGGACAGGCCAGGAAGACAGGAAGCTGCAGGGTGGTGTGTGAGGTGACTGGGAAGGGATTGCAGGTCTGGCTAACCTAACCCTAAAACTACCCTTCACCTCTGGACATTCCTCTCTTGTCTCAGAGAGGCCAAGGGAGGACCTAGCTCCCATGGAGGGCCCAGAACCCCGCGGGGCCTACCTTCCCCAGGAAGAATGCTCCAATCTCTCCCTAACCCCTAATCCGTGTCCTAAACTCCAAGGGAGCCCACACTCCGGATTCCTGCAAAGAGCCCTAAGACCAGGGCATCACAGGCACCAAGATATCCGCGAGAAGCCTTGGATCCGGTCAGAAAAGTCAATTATCCCCCACTTTCCACAGAAAACCGAGAACCCAGGGTAACTCTCTATCCCTTTATAATTGCCCCGAACCCTGAGGATCCCGCTCTCCCCATATTCCACATATCCCTCATTCCAAGGGAACCCAGGCCCCCAGCTTTCTTAAAAAGAGTTTTAATTTGAGGGCCTGTGGTCACCAGATCCACAAAAAAAGCTGGCCCGCTGACAGAGCCAGCATCCCTTCCTCCAGGGACCTCAACTCTCAGAGAACTGCCCAAACCTCCTGCTCCTTGGGGCTTTCTGTCTCCGGTCCCCCAATTCCCGAAGCTCCACAACCTTCTCGCGGAGCGTTGTGCTCCCCCCCCAACCCCGGTCAATTCTAAGGAGCGGGAACCCACGGGAGTCCACTCAGCCTGAAACCCCCGAGGCTGCCAGGTCCCCCCAGGCGTCTTGGCCCGGGCTTCCGAGATAACGGCGGGACAGGACGGGGAGGCCCCTCCTTACCCGCCTGCGCGGCCATGGTCCCGGGGACGCGGAAATGGGGAGGTGGCGGGGACCACAGCAGCCTCTCAGCTCCCGCTGCCAGCCGCCTCAGGCGCGGGAGGATCTCAGCCCCGGGCGCAGCCCCGGGCGCAAGCAGGATGCACCGCCTACGGCGCCCGGGGAGGACCAAACCGCACCTGGCACCGGGGCCCGCCCGCCGACGCCCCGCCCCCGGGCCAGGCCCCGCCCCCTGGCTCGGGCTCTATGGGGGCCCTGGCGCCTCCTACCGCGAGCGGCGCGGAGCTGGTAAAGGTGGTTGTGCGCGGCCGTGAGGTGGCTTGTCCGGAGAGTCCTCAGGACAACCTGGAGGTCTCAACAGAGGACCCTCAGCCCATTTTACAGATGCGGGCAGCTGAGGACCCGAGGGAACAAGTTTGACTACCTCGAAATAGCTCAGCTCATTAGAAGCAGAAGTGAAATGGGAACCCAGGTCCCCTAACTCCCAGGCAAAAGCTCTTTCCAGTAGAGTGTTTGGGATCAAGAATATGAATATGAAGGGGTGCCTGACTGGCTCAGTCAGTACAGCATGGGACTCTTGATCTCAGGGTTGTAAATTCGAAACCCCACGTTTGGTATAGAGATTGCTTAAAAATAAAAATCTTAAAAAACAAAATGAATATGGAGAAGTTACCCCACAAACCTTTGGGGATTGAGGGTAGACTTTTCTTAGAAGCTTCCAGCTCAGAGAAGCCACTTATCTGCGCCACTGAGTAAGCTGGCGCTCAGTAGATAATCTCTAGGTCAAAGATGGTATGAAGGTGGTGCAACCACATTCCAGAGGCAGATCCTTCTTGAGGCCAAATAGGTATATAAATGAATCCCAGCACACCAGATCTTCCAATTTTTCAAGACAAGCCAAAACTCCAGGTATTTAGGTGAATTTTCCTATTTTTAAATGTTGGTAACATTCGTAAATTTTAAAAATGCCATGTAGACCAAAGGAAACACTTGTGGAGTGAGTTTGCCCCGCTGGCTCCTCTTTGTGGAGGAGAAAGCACTGGACAAGGAGTTAGAACAGCTGACTGGCTCCTGGCAGCCGTTAGCTGGCTGAGGGGCCTTGAAAACCACTTCCCTTCACTGGGCTTGGGAGGGAATTGGGGCCCTCCACGTGACAAAGGGTGGCCTACATCACCACTGGACCTGTGGTCCCTCCCATTTGATTCTCTGGTGCTGGGTGTTTGGCAACTGTCATTTCCTTAGACTGGATTTAGGTCATGGGAAAAGTGTCCAAATGACCAGGAAGAGGCAGGGATGGGGCCCAAGGAAATGGATCATGATGCCCCCACCAAGGACAAAGTTCAATCCTGCTGCATCTGGTTCCAGTAAGCAAAGGTGAGCACAATTCTTTCTTCCTGCCCTCTGTAAATCCAAACCAGATGCAGGTCAGTTGGTTCTCCTCTGGGTGTGTCAGGTGGCTCCTGAAGTCCTGAAGGTGGAGAAAGTGCTGAGGGGGTGGGGGAGGGGATGTGCCCAACTTCCTTTAATTCCTGGGAACCTTCCAGTGGTTGGTTTTACAGTTTGAGGAAATCTCTGGTCTGATTATAGTAACCACAGGATTGTGTGTTGAATTAAAGTGACAGGGATCCAGGGAACTCTGACAAGCCACCTTGTGGCTAGCAAAAAGGAAGCAGGGATTTTATTCACCCTGCACATGCAAAGAAGTTATGCTGTATTTTCCGAGGTTCATGGGCACTGGCAACCTTGGAACCAAGACCCCTGTTTGTCTTCCCTTTCCTCTGCCCCACAGCAAGGCACCCAGGTCTGTCTCTTTTCCGTCCTCTCTCTCATTCCACCTCCTTCCCACCTCCAGCCTCCTGGTGTTCACTAGCAGTGAGTGGGGGGATAACCAACTCCCCCAAGTTCTCTCCAGAAGGGAAGTTTAGGTATTTCTTGAGAAATACAAAATGAAATGTAAAGAAAGAAAATAGCAATCTATCGAAATGGTATAATGAAGGGATATCATTCCAATATAGATCCAAAGAATAGTGTAAGATCACTTGTGAATGCGAGGGGGACTTCTGGAGGACAGAAAAGTTCTGGGTAAGGAGAAGATGTGGGTTTCTAGTGCCCAAGTCACCTGTTCACAGTTTGATTACCTGACCATAGTTTGGTCAGTCTCTGAGGCCAGATCCTGCTGACTGACTCACAATCAACTCTTTGGACCTACAGAAATGAGGACCCGGACACTGAAAACCACCTTAAGGTTCAGACTCTGCCTCTCAAAAATCTTCAACAGTTCCTTGTTGCCAACAAAATAAAGGCCAAACCAAGCCCTCATGAGCGAACTACATCTCATTTTGCAGCCTTCTCTCCCTATTCCCTTCACTCCAGGACTTTTTTTCCTGAATACATTCTGCCCTTGTACTACTCTGCCATTCCTATAACCCCTCCATGTTCTCTGTAATTTTGTTGTCCTATTCTACCCAGAAATGCACTCATTTCTAAATGCTTAACACATCATTTTCAATCATATCATTTTGCAAACCCTGTAAATTAATCGAAATCCGCACTGATAGGATAGCCATTAGCCACATGTGGCTATTTAAATTAAAATGAAATAGAACTGAAAATTAAGTTCCTCAGTCCACTGGCCATGTTTCATGTGCTTGCTAGCTACATGTGCCTAGTGGTTACTATGTTAGACAGTGCACATAGAGAACATCTCCGTCGTGACAGAAAACTCTGTTGGACAGTGCTGTTTTAGACAATGATTAGTAAGGGCTGTTAACATCACAAAGAGGGACTACCAGGCACTATGTGCCTCCTGAAATGATGCAACAAGTATACACTACCATTTATGACATAGTTATACCAAAAAACCAAGCCTGAATCTGGTCACACTTCTGGATCTAACAACCAATTTAGAGGAAATACAAGAGTAGGAGGAGCTTATTAACACCACAGTGATATATACAGCAAAACTGAAGCTGTGGGAAACTCAACAGGACAAATGAACTGGTTTCTTTAACAGATAAAGTGCAAGAGAAAGAAAAGAGGAACCTATGGATGTAACATAGACTTAAGAGAAATGCAATAGCAAGGTATGGATCTGATTTAGATCTCAGTGCAAGCAAAGTGAACAAAAAGTTGAGAGAACTAGGAAGATTTGAGCAATGATTGGATATATGATGACATTAAGAAATTATTAATTTTTTAAGGTACGTTAAATACCATTTGGATATGTTCTAAAAAATCCTTACCATTAAGATGCATATTTAAAATACTTAATAGAGGGGCGCCAGGGTGGCTCAGTTGTTAAGGTTTTGCCTTTACCTCAGGTCCTGGGATTGGGGCCCTGCATCAGGCTCCCTACTCAGTGGGAAGCCCGCTTCTCCCTCTCCCATTCCCCCTGCTTGTGTTCCCTCTCTCGCTGTGTCTCTGTCAAATAAATAAAATCTTTAAAAAAAATACTTAATAGATGGCACGGGACTAGGATTTCCTTCAAAATAGCCCAGGCAGGAGAGAGGAAGCAGTGTGAGGGTGGTGATGAAACAGGATTGGACACAAGTTGATTATTGGGATTGGGTCATTGGTACATAGAGGGTTTACTGTCCTATTCTACTTCAGTGTATGTTTTGTTTTCCATTCCTTACTGGGCTCAGTTCTGGGAAATCCCTCACCTTTGCATTTCCTACCAAATCTTGGTGCTATTCAACTTGATAACTCCTAGGTCAAAGTGGAAGAGAGGGAGAAGAGACCTTTTCAGAGGGATGACCTGTAGCTCTGGTGTGCTGGGGAGCCTGAGGCTGGGCAAGGTTTGTAACCTCACTATCTTCCATCTCATACTGTGCTACTGAGGAACCTCAAGGAACTGCACAGCCACTGCTCCAGGTAGAGGGCTTGGCCGGGGGCCCGCCTGCCCGACTGCAGAACATGTGAAGAGATGCAGACACTGAATAACCTGTCATTGTCCTCAAGGTTCTGACTGTCCACAAGCTAAGCTCCATCTTGGTTGCCTGCAAGCTTAGGGATTCTATACACTTTGTCAGGACCAGGGCTGTCAGATGGGTCACACCTTGGGCAGGGCTGTGTATGAAGTATTTCTCATCTCTAATTAATGGCTGCCTGAAGCCTTTGCTCCTCGATGTGACATTCCCATGTATGCAGAGGTGTTTTCCTAGAGGCCAGACCAGTGTGACTACTCCCCGACCCATTCATGCCCTGCCCCACCCCCTTACACAAACAAGTCCACAGCTCACAGTAATGTAAAACCATTTGTTTAATTCTAAATCAAATCACTTTCACAACAGTGAAAATTAGTGACTGGTCAAGGTGTGCCACTGTACATGGTGTCATTTTCTGACTGTGGGTGGGACCTGGTCCTAATCCACAAAGGTGGCAGGAGGGGGTGGAGGCCAAGAACACAGACAACACACAAAAGAAAGGAAAACTACCTTGGCAGAGGGGCAAGGTGGTGAACCTGCAGAGGGGTGGTGGGAAGGGGGTTTCCTGTTGGGGCTGGGCCAGCAGTCCCAAGTTGGCTCTCCTGCCCCAGCTCCCAGTAGAGGGTGAGTGGGGACCTAGAAGGTTCAAAATCAAAGGGCACATGACCAGCCTGGCTCTGCTTACAGGTTCCTGGGATGCCCTTGCTGGTGGAGTTCTCCTAGGCTTACTACTTTGTTAGAGAGTCCAAGTGATTTGTCTTCCTATCCCACAACCCTTTTTTAACCTTTCTTCTGGAAACCCATTTCTGTTGGGCCCATCTGACTGAAGTCCTCTCTCTCACCACTAGGTGGGGCTACTACACCGAGCGATCCCACCAATTCACTTATGTTGAGAATTCAGACACCTCCCACCCCCCCCCACCCCAGTTCCCCAACTTTGGGGACTTCCAGGAGGTGATAAAAAGAGCACTCTTGAGTGGGTGTCCCAAGAATGTTCAAAATCCATCCGGGACCTGTAAAGCTGGTGGCTTAGTCCTACCAAATGGATTCGGCAAACAAAACCACCTATTCAATACTTAGATTTTGTTTGATTGAACACTGAACTCTGGCATTGACAGGTACAGAGGGGAAGGGGTGGGGCCTGTGGAGAGGAGAGGAGGAAGACTTCCCTCATCTTCCTCAAGGTCTTGGTTTCCACATGCTATGCAGAGCCACATCTGGAA